GTGCTGCCTCCACTGTTAAGGACTCATAATCAGTAGACTTTCAGAAATATTAAGCCTTGACTTCTTTACTGAGAGCACCTGATTTGCAGAAGCATTGTCATAATTTAGGTGTGCTAGATTTTCCTCTTAAAAACAGGTTTCTTCTTGAAATCAACATTAGCTATCTGAAATTAAACCTTAATCTGTAAATATCTGCAACATGTTCCCGTTACTCTGAAAACTGTCTTCCCTGGCTCTCCTGACCTCAGAGATTACTCAGCTTCTGCTTCTCTCAGCATTTTTCAGTCCATCCTTCAACCTGCTCTGATCTGCTTCTTCACAGCTCAACACTCCCTTAGCCAGTAAAAATAGTTCTCCACAATAGGATCCATGCTACTGCAATTACATTGTAAAGGTACAACCTTTAGGGCAACTACCTCATGTTTCCAGATCTGTGATATCAGCCTCTGAACTTTCCTTTCAACCTGAAGGCAAATGGAGATCTGATAGTGCCACAGCAGGTGCTTAGCAAATATGCACACAGCCACCCCACAGAAAGGCAGTGAAAAAATTCTGTATTGTACTCACCACATATCTGAGACATCCCTGTTATACTGCAGATAAATAACATCGACAATCATAAAATGTTGGTCTCAACTAAAGCTGGGGAATATTTCGAGATCAGCACCCTTTGCAAAGAGCAACACTGCTATGTCGTGAATAGAAAATAACCAAACGCAGAACAAAATATGTGAGAGTGAAAAGCCTAACATCTGAAGCTGCAAGTGTCAAAATTATCTGAAGTAACAGCTGACAAACTAGTTGGAATGGGGAAAAAAGTGATGAAGCAGATTTCAAACACAAGAGAAAGTTTAAAGGACAAATGAAAGAAGGGCAAATGTTTCAGCCATCAGCAGCCTTTTGTTAAATAGTTATGGGAGGAAGGGGCCTCTGGTTTTGTTGCCATGTGGAATTCTACTCCCAATGTCTTATGCCTCAGTAAACTGAAAACTGCAATTTGCTAGTGTCTGTGGTAAAGTTGGGCAAAACTCTTCAACCTCCAGAGAAGGTTGGTAACTTTCCCTTTACTTGGCATGGGTCACACAGAGGTTTGAAAACAAAAATTCCAGTTCAAAGCTAAACTTGGCCAAAAATGAGCATTTCTCCTTTTTCAGCCCTTTTGAGAGACCAACCTGCCATCCTAAGTACCAACTTACTTTCTGACTTTCAATGCATACCACAAACTGAGATCTTGGCACAGAATGCTCTGAATTCAGATTAACTAAAGCACTTCTACAGCTTGATACAACATTAAGCTGTTTGAGTCATCTGCCCATACTCATCAATTAGCAGGTAAGAAACCAGAGTAAAATTATTAACTTCCTGGTTATCAAACTGAGCAGAATTTACCTTTAATTAAATTTAGACCAATTTCTTAGTTCTCATAGTCAAAAAATCAAAGGCATAATTCTTTTCACTCAAACTTAAGGCAACTATTAAACAGTACAAAAGAAACAGCTGTTTTGTGCAAAAGATATAGACACCAATTACCTTTTATCCCAAGAAAGTTTTAGTGACACCTTAATTGTTTGCTCTGGTTCTTCTTTGTTTTATCAGTTTGAGTACTCGGCACCATTGCACTATTGCCCCAAAGTGAGCATAAGCTCCCTTAAAAAAAGGTTCATTACTTCCCAATCCAGATTATAAAATTTTATGATTTATGACAGGATTAAACATGGTTTTAAGTTATAAAAACCATTTAAAAATAGATAATTTAATTATTTTTTCTTTAAAAACTTTTAAAGTCATTCTAGACTGAAGAGGTAAATGATCTGGATTTTGGCAGGGGTCTACTATTCAAACATAGCAAAAAAATTAGTTTACATCCATAATTCAGCTGTACATTACAGTCTGTATCTTTAACATGTCCATTTTTTTAACCAAGAAAACAGTAAACCCTATTCAAAATGAGCTAAAAACACTTGCTGGAGTTCAGATACCGGATGATAATTTCAAGAGACAAATGGAGATGGATGAAGTTGAAGTTAATATTCACTTAAGGAGTAATTTTTGGTGAATAAAGAAGGAAATGCTATGATTTTAAAGACTTTACTACAGGTTTTACCACACTGCTTCAAATGAAACCTTTTGTAGTGATTCTTCAAATGAAGGCAAAAGGAAAACTTCAGGTACATTAAGCATGCCCTATGCTACCCTATTTCACATACCATGAAAATCCCCCAGACAATGTACATTTTAAAACAGAATCCAGGTCAGTTTGATCACTGGAAGTGGAAAACGTGACAAATATAAAAGGATAAAGACATTTTTGCATTACTACTTGGACTTCATTATTTTAGCTGAACACATTCTGCCTCAAGGCTTTAATCTCTGTATAACTAGCAAATATTATATGTCCATAGTACAATTTGAAGATAGTGAATTTGCTAATGCTTAAATTTAGCTAAAAATCTGAACAACCTGACAGTCAAAGCAGGTAAGCCAAGGTCTATTGACCCCAGAAAAAACATGTAATTCTGTAAGAAACTAGTATCTAGTTTTTTGATATTGTGTAATAGCTCTCTTAGTGTATTGCACTTAAAAAGCCCTTAATGTGAGGCAGAATATTAAGTTCCCATTTTGTTGTCCAAAATTGGGATGTAAGAAAATACAGAAATTGTTCAAGGATGTGAAGGACCTGATTATACCTTTTTTGAGAAATCCTTGAGGTTTTAAGAATCTATCGGCACAACACTAGACAACACCGAATATTAGGCAGCAGTTCTTCCCACAGAAACATCCACCTATCCAAATGATGATTTTGTTGTTGCCCCAGTGGCTCAAGCTGTCAGTCATAATTCTTAGCTTTGCAGAATGGCTTTTGTTTGTATGGCCAATATCTTATACAAGTCAGATACATTCCACGGTATTTTTTTAATACACAAGAATAATAAAAAGTCATATGTAATGTCCCTAAATATAATACAAAATAACACACGGAAGATCCCAAATAGGTCTATACAATAGAAATCAAAAGCTTAATTCTAACAAGAAGTAAACAAAGAATAGAAAAAATATTTTTGTTGGGATCAAAAGGGTTCTGGTTGCCTTCTTCTCCCTATCTCCCCCTGCCCTCAAACTGGAGGCCAATTCAATGAAAAGAATAAGGGTTTTTTCAGGAAAAAAAGTTCATATGTTCATACTTCCTAATATTTTGTTCCAATACTTTTGTTTGTTTTCCCTCAAAGTTTGTCTACATTACAAAATGTAACAGACACTACATAACACTAACAAACACGGACCAGTGGACCTGTAAGAACCTGATGTTTGGATTCCACCACTGCACAAGAGTTAGAAGGCAGCTGCATTGTTCACTAAGGTTACAATGAACCTGACCAGAGCTACAGAAGCCAAAATTACTAACCCAGCAAACAGGCACCAAATCCCTGCAAATAAACCCACTGAGCTTTAGGCTGGGAGTGCACCAGTGCTCTGTCAGGCTCCTTGAGTGGGAGGAGAAACAAGGTACTTTGCTCACTTTTATAAATGTCATTGCATAGTCACAGCTTCTTAAGACATGAACAGCACAGTCTGAGAAACTAAAGAATAATCACGAACACCTCAGTTCTTGCAGTGATTAACAGACTAATCCAGAAGCCACTGAAATTAGTAGGAAGACTGTACACGCATTAACTCAAGCCCAGATACCTTCCTAAGGTGTGAATTATGTTCATAACTGCTCACAGCAATTTATATGGATGTCAACTTCAAACATGCAGGGAAAACATTTACCATTGGACCACACAGAAAGATCATGTTTGAAAGTACTTTTGAAAAAAGTCCACTAATGAAATTTTAATGAGTTTGTGTCTCAGAAAGCAACCACACCAAATGTCTTCTGTGAGAAAACAAACAACTGTGTCTGCATCATTGTTCATAAGAAATGGAAGTATGTAGCATTTACAAGCTATACATGACTGACTCCAGTGTCTTTGACTAATTAAACCAATGAACACAGCAGCTTGTTGATGTCTTTTAACACAGAAGGATTTGTGTATCATAAAAATCAATCTGAAATATACAAAACACTAAAGTTGTTTAGAAATCTTCCTTGTCTGGTTCAGTTTAGAATGCCCACACGTCTTCATCTTAGGCTTAGAGAACCATGAATCAGATCAGGGTCAGCTTAGTGCTTTGAGCAAAGCTATATCAGACCAAAAGCAGCAATGAAAAAGAAAAATTGAGATTAAACTCTAAAGTTGTTCTAGTTTCTCAATTAAGACAGAATTTTTTTTTTTATATCTAAGAATAATGAGTATAAAGATCATTGCTAATACTTATGAAAATAAAATCTCCTACCTGTGAATTTGATATCAAAGATTTAGCTGGATGGCAAATTCTATACAGAGCAAAAGTCTCAGAGATAGGAACTCAATCAGACTCAGCAAATTATGGATCTGCACAGGAGTTTTTTTTCCCATTTCATGAAAACTGTCTAAAATCACACACTCTCAATTCTTTTTGAGGAAATAAATTCAATAATTTTTGTTACAAAAGGAAGCAAGAAATAAAAAATGCTGCCCAAGTTTATGAAACACAAGGGATTAAACATACATGAGTTCAAGTCCTTCTTGCAAATCAGATAAGTTAAAAACCTGAAAGTCAGTCATCCAGGTACTGTACCACTACACTATTTGCCAGTTTATTTTGGAATCCTTCTCACCCTATCTCGGTCTCACTACTCCTGCTTGGCTTACTATTTTACAGCAACTATATTTTGGCCAAAATATTCCTCAAAAAAACTCTGGTGATATGAGTCCCAAATTAGCCTGCTTAATCAGAAAAAATAAAACAGGAAAATCATGTGCTATTAATAGGAAAGATGCAAAAATCTTGTTTTAACAGGCACTCGGTTTCACAATGTCAGTAGACTTTCTTTTTTGGGATGAAAGCTGAGCATTTATTTCTGGAGTATATGCTCACAGCTTTGTTATACAAGAAATAAAGGAGGAGTGTATTACCATGAAACCACTGAGCAATCCTGTTGGTGTTCCTCTCGAATCCAGCACGTCGAGGGATCTGCTCTTCTTTGAACCAGCGGATGATGACATCTCGGGAGAAGGGTCGGCACGGACGCTCCCAGATGTTACTGCATTGAAAGACAGAGAACTAGCAGTGCATGAAAACAAGAGACAAGATAAATTTTAACCTTTTTTTTTTTTTTCTACATACTTACAAAACACACAGCTTCAAAATGGCCATTATAACTTCCGTTCAGTATAACTCACTGAACAACTTTAACCTTTTTAAAATCTAGTAAAAGTATTTGGGGCTTCTATGGAAACAACAATATTGTGGTTTTTACATTTGCAGTGGAAGTTTGGACATTTTTTAAGCACTTAAACTTAACTTAAACTGAAAACCAATTTATCACAAAAGATGCAATGGACGTTTCAGTCAGTTTTTCTTTTCTACCTCATTTTTATTCCAAGATAAACACTGACGTGCGAATCTTATTTTTTTACTTAGAGTATACTCCTATAATGCATTGTGTCTCCAAATTACTAAGGACAAGAGAGGGAATCTTTTGTTTAAACCCTTATATTCCCTTTGCATTCTCTACTTGAAAGCCTCCATTACTCTTTCTATACGTTACCCTTTCGGTGCATTTTAGATAGTAGGAGGCAAATCAGGTAAAATATGTGGAAGATCCACCAACTACCACAAATAAGGTGTAAGGTATACCATATCAAATTCAAGCATGGTGATATGCAGCTGAGTCCTCCTTTCAGTTTATCTTGCTGTTACTTAATTTAGTGTTTGGTTCTGTTGAACTATTACAGTGAACATAATAATTATTGCTGAATTACATGAATGCATGTGAGCAGATCTGACCAATATTCATTGTAAAATTTGAAGATACAACCATAAGTGAGGGGGAAAAGTGAGAATTCAGTTATAGACACACACTGAAAAAAAGAAAAAACCAAACAACACATGTTTCTTATATCTCATTTTTCAATACATTATATAAAGAAAGACAAAAATCCTTTGAATTAGAGGGTTCTACAGTCCATTCTTGTTCCTTAACTCATTTCTCTCTAATTCAGTTAAGTTTTGAACAGTTTGTCACGTCCATAATTTTTCCTGCCCTAGGCTAAATCTCAAAATTACTGTCTCAGTTTCTGTACAGCTTCTGTGCTCCAGCTTGTTCAACAGGGACAGGAAGAAAGAACTACAACCACAGAAGTAAAAATAAAAACCCCACAGTAGGCAAAAGGATAAAAGTGAACAAGCAGGTCAAAGAGTTTCATCAGGAGGAGAATACTCAGCAAAGTAAAAAAGACAGCAGGAAAAAATTCAAATGGTTTTCTATATAGCTATACAGAAATAAGAGAGAGAGATCTCATGTAAAAATAAAAGAATACTATTTTCATGTGGCTTTTAAAAGAAATGGCAAGGCAAGGTAAAAAACTACAGGAGCAACACTTCATGTTGAAAAACTTAGAGATGTAACACTGAACCTACATTCTCTTGAGGAAAAAAACCCCTGTCTCATAGCTGTGGTAAATGACAACTTAGTGTGCATCTCCTCCTTGACCTCCCAGGTCACTGGCAAAGTAAAATCTTAGATTCACATCTGCTCCTGCCTTTCCATACCAGTGTAAACTGTGAGAAGTTGAATTATACACATTTATATATATTCATTATTGAAGCATTTGTTAAAAGCAACTTTTATGTTTCTTGACACCTTCACAATCAAGTAACGGCCAGAAAATGAGAAGTCTTAAGAGATAAGAAAAAATAATTACTGCCTCATTTTTGCAGTATAAACATAGCTTAGAAACAGATAAATAATATTGAAAATGAGCTGGATAATGATCGGAATACTTTTCAGCTTTTTTTCTGGTCCTTTTTGAAAAGGATCATATCTAGCACCACCCAATTCTATAGTAAATAACTTCATGGTAGAGCTCAGAACTTCAGTCAAAGCAATGGACTGTCTTTTCTCAAAATCTGCCATTTTACTGGTGTTTTTACTACTTCAGTTTGAAGGAGAATTTAAGCAGTTTGGGAAAATAATGAGAGACTTCCCTTTACGAATTGATTTGATGGTAACTTTAAAGAACCTGCTCTCTCAGAATGAAATTCTGATTCCTCCTCAAACTGGGAGTTGTTTGGTTGCTGTTATGGAAGAGTTTCTATATCTCAATACAGTAGGGTAAAGAATTTACCAAAGCAGAACACATTTCCAAACAATGGAATATCTGTGGTGATACACTGACTGGGAAGGAAAAAGAGTGTAATAGGACTCTTTCCTTTCTGAGCTTGGATATTTGTTTTTTCTTTAGAATTTAATGTTACCATCCTGTCAGTGCTCACACTGCCTTTATCACCACACATGAACCCAAATTAATGGTATAAGAAATAACCAGTAAAAGAGTAGAGTGATTAGTCAGCTTCCTAGCAGTCATCTGCCAGTTTGGATTCTTTTCCTCTTCTGCAATTTCTGGTGCTCCCTAAATAGTCATACGAAAGATTAATAAATAAAAAAGACACTGGATTTGGCCGGGAAAAAAACCCAAAACCTAAAACCTCCTGAAACTTTGGACAGCTCTCTGTAAAATGGAGCTATTAAGCAGCAGGTAATTTTAGGCTTGAGGCTTAAGACTTGCCTAAGAATTTGTCCATTGGACTTCTCTGTGCCACAACCTCACATACTGATCTAATACTGACGTTTCAAGGACTCATCTCTCTCTGTGTGAATTCTAAGAGTTCTGTCTGAAAAACAAATGGCATTTAGTTTACATTAAACCCGGGTTTCTTTTTCTTTAAACATTCTTTTTCTGGTCATAGTGAAACAGCAAGACTGAGAATTCCCAGCGACTGAAGAACAGCTCGTTGAGATGGTGGGAACCGGAGAGGGAGCCATTCAACAGAAAACTGCTTCAAAGTCACTGCTGTACAAACCAACCTGGACGCTGCAGAGAGACATAGCAAAGGACTTGAACTATTGTTGTTCAGTTTTGTCTCCTGGTCGTTGTTGAGGCTCGTCCCCTGGAACAAGTTACTCAGGCCAGCCACTCTTCCCTTCTGGATGGCACGCAGGGATTGCCGTCGATATTCATCCCGCGCCCTGCGCGCTTTGTGGCTTCTCTCCTCGTCTGCGGCCTTGGAGCGGCGCACTGGGTGGGGTGAACGGGAAGGTTGGGGAGGAGAGACTTTAGAAATACAAACAGCCATTTACTCCTTTCCTTACAGAACAACTTAGTACCTTTATTCCTATGTGACATCATTTTAAGGGTGTATAAATTACAACGCGTTACCAAAGGCTGGATGACATTCCTTGTGCTTCAAATACAGCTCCACCACTAGAAGAAGCCTGCCAGACTCAAGATATCAATAATTTGATCAGTACTGGCAATAACTGAGCCTCTAACATACTGTGATTACATCTGACCTTGCTTTGGCTGTAATAAGAGAAATTCTGCTTCAGGACATCTTTTCCATTGGCAATGCATCAAGTTCTATGTTTCAAGAAAGGATTTTAATTGTTGCTTAAAGTTAACAGAATTTTTTGCCTCTATGAACATAACTAGAATTGAAGAAGCTACTCCCAAAATTTACAATTATTAAAACTAACATGTAGTTTACATTTTTTGCCGTTGTTGTTTTCTTTCTGAAAAGTATATGCTATTGTTGTCACAGTACTTGTAGTCACAGAAGTTCCAACTTGAAAATTTCAGTCTAAAAATGGTTCCAGTAACAATGGATAAATTTGTAACCATTGGAAAGGGCATGCTGATGCTATGGACGGGGTTGTCTCACACTTGAGTCTCTAAAATTGTATATAAAGAACCAGAATCTCCATTGGAAGATTTATTACACACTTAACAATGGTATTGACCAGGGAGTTACCCATTTCTGTAACCTGAAATGAGACTGCTGCTCTGGCCACTGCAGGTCAGGCATCTTTTACTAAAGTTTCTTCATTTTAAAACTAATGTACTAACAATCCTGTCTTTGAAATGGTATAACTTAAATGCACCAAGAATTGTACTGCAAATATTCATCATGTATCAGCACTTTTCTGGTGCCTCAAGCCCCATTTGGATGATTTTTTTGAGTCACAAATAACTGTAGGCAGGCAAATTTTTCCAGTGCAAAACAAACCCCTAACATCCAGTGAAGTAAATATTAAAGAAGCTAGCTATTGCCTCCAGTAGTAATTAGCAATCCTGCCATGACTATCCTGGCTTAGATCATACCCAGTTCATAAAGTGCACACACTATTTCTTGCTCCACTGTGACTGTACCTGTGACTAGGAATGCATGACATAACACCACACAGTTGCATTTCATTAGGCTGTTTGCATCCCTCTGAGTCACACTACCAATTTAAAGCAAACAGAAATATAAACTGATTTGTCCAAATTATGAGAAGGTTTAATGGAATCAAGCAATAAAAGCACTCAAAGCCAAATGAAATTAAATAAAACATTGTGGGCAAACAAGGGAAAGAGAAAGGACCTTTAAGCTTAGATTTCTATAATATCATAAGTAGAAAGATATACAGGACTGAAAGCTCATCAAGATAGCATAATAAATGAGTCATAGGGGCTTCATATGTATACAACTTGCAGGATTTCAGTTTCACTTTACATACCCTGTAGTTTTAGATAAACAAAGTAACAAACAAATGTACAGCACAGAAAACATGAGTAACAGACTCCAGGTCGTTATTTTTAAGGGTAGATAATGTCACTTAAATATGCTACTTCAATGGCTCAAGTATATTGGTTACAACATTTCTTTGATTTATCCTTTGTAAAGCCACTCAGTAATGGTCACTTTAAATATGAACTTGGTGTTTGCAGCACAAGGAGAGACTGCAAGGAAGATGAGTGCAATGCAACTTGGCAAGGCATTTAGAAACCGGTCATTGCCACAATCACAATATACAGATTGAGGGCAGACTGCCTGGAGATTTCTGGGATTCTTTTCTACTGATGTACAGGCTGCCTGGCAATGAAAAAAGCAAGCTACCTTCATGGCCCACTTTCCTCAGCAATAAACACTCCTTTCAACAGACATTCCTGCTCAGTTTTTGCTCGTTAATAAATCTGTACCATCAAAGGCTGGTGACCAGGCTACATTTTCCCAAACTGTAGAGCTTCTTATCACAGAACTACGGGGAGAGGTAGCATAGTTTGCAACTGTTAAATATCGACATTTCAACTTTCAGAAAACCTTTTGAATGTATGTATTTGCATTTATCAACATACCCATACACGTGTATATGTGTTTGTGTATATGTGTCTGTATATATGTCAGGATAGGGAAGGCTGTATGTAGATTTTTAGATTTATATCTATATATGTATATAGTCATCTCTTTCACATTAAGAAGAATTTTTATTGAAATTTCCCAGGTGAGGTATCTGAAGAATTCTATCACTGACCATAGGGATGCATAGGGTCTCTCAATCCATTTTTTTCTCATTACTGGAGTCCTGACTTTCTTCCTCTCCCATTCCTTACAGTTATTCCCTGAAACATCCCTCTTTCCCCTACCTTTCAAAGTTGTTCAGTACAGCTTCTACTGTTGACCTGCTTTGCTATGTTATCCTAAGTTACTTCTAAAAGTCTGACTTGTCAAAGGACTTTTCAGGTAAATAATCAGAGTCACTGGCACAAAACTGGTTTTGGTGACTGGAAATAGTATGATGGATAAAGCCATTGCAGTCAGGAACCTACAAAAATGTTTATCACTACATTCCAGACAAAGCAATGTGTGCCACATGAACCATCCTCCCATACTGACACTTCCCACAAATTTCTCTATCTTGAGAATGTCACTCAAAGTCTGAAGGTAAATCAGGATCTATTTCTGTAGCAGATTTTTCTTACAATAGAATTTTGTGAATATTCGTATTTCTCTCTTTGGCTCTGAACCATCTCACTAGGAATAAGAACCTTCTGTCTGGATCTAGTCTAGCACAAATATTTTAAGATAGAAAAAGCCAAAAATCTGCATTAGTTGTATTTTCAGAGACATCATAGCCTTTCTCACAATAAGAAAGCAAAAGTAGTCAGGACTTCTAGGGCTCCCTCAAATAGGAAGAGGTTATTGTTCTTGATCGGCTGTCCTTTTACAGCAAACGTATTTTTGGCATGACCCCTGTGCAAAACACTAAATTCAATAGCCAATATTTTCACTAGGGAGATTAGATATGTGAAAAAAATCTTACACTCTCTGAATCATCACCCCAGGTCCACATATCTAGCATCAAGAATTACATCAATAACAATTTACATCTACCCAATCTTCCTTTTATATTACAGAATAATGGAAGGACTGACAAGACAGGGAAACGAGGAATTTGTTAAGCTCACAGGAAATCTACAGTTCAGCCAGGCCCTATAAGACCAGCTCCAACACCAGTTTTCTCTTCCAGTGCTGGTGATACCAATAACAGGAAACTTTTCCTTCAGCACTTGCAAAATGAAGCACACTTCTGCCCTGCTGGAACTGTAGCTTCTGCAGAAATGCCTGAGCTGCTCATATAGGTTAGGTGTCAATATGACTGTAGCCTCAGTAGAATAGGTCAAAAATGGGCTACCTAACCCTCCTGGAAAGCTAACAAATATATCCAAGACAGTTATTATTACTAGAAATGAATAGTTTAAAGCCAGCTCAGACATGTCTATGTGATCTGCAGTGTGAACATACTCTCAACAAGAGAACAAACCACAAATGGTGTGTGCAACAGCTCTTACAATCCTAGAGGTGTCAATTGCCTCGTTTTCCCTGAAGAGTTTGTGGAAATCCATTATTCCTCTATGCTAACCTAAGTTGTCTTTTGAGAGAAAATGCAAAATTGCCTTCTAAATTTTCGCTTTGGATTGGTAAATCCCTATTAGCAGCCCTGGTAAAGTTCTAATACCAAATCTTTTGATATAGATGAGGATTAATTCATGGTGCACTGCAGCTGAACTTGATCACATAATTTGTGAAAGACTAGGAACTCTCTATTTTCTGTAATCTATTTTGTGCTTTTGAAGAGCTATGAGTTACAGTCAGAGATATGTGAAAGCAGAAAACAACATGTGCTATGATTATACATCCTAATTTTTAAATTATTTTGTTTTGGCTTTACACCCTTGTTAACAATTCTTGGAAGCTTGTTTATGAGCAATTCAAAATGACTACTTAATAGATAAAATCCAATCTTCAGATTTTCTGAGTGCACAGACAAATCACAAAGTGTTTTTTTGCCTTTCCTAATTGGAAAATAACTTCCCACAAATACTCTGCAATATGGCTCCAGTTCAGCAATCCTTTATCTGAAAGCATTTGAATAATCCCATTCCTATTCAACAACGCACTCTGAGACCTATTGAAGTTCAGAGGGTACATACTTTATGTTAAGCACTTGCTTAGCTAATGTATAGCTGAACTGGGGACTACTCACTTCAAAATTCAGCATTTTGTCAAATGCTCCTGCCAGTAAACTCACTCACTTAAATTTCTGTGGAAGATAAAGACTAAATGAATTCCTTTAAAAACCAGACAAAAAATAAATTCATAGACACATTTGTAGAACATAAAATATAAAAGAAGCTATAATGAGTCAGCCTGGTATTCTACTTCCAACAGAGACCAAAAGTGGGTGCTTGGGGTAAGTCATAAGAATAGATCAACTCACTCATCTATGTTTACATTTTTACTGGAATAATTTTTGTCTGCCGATGAGTAAAGCTGGTCAGATGGTATCTGAGCACTTCACTGCTTGGTGCAGTTTGCAGGGGTTTGTAACTGTACTAACAGAATGCTTTTTGCAACATCCAATCGGATGAATATTCGTGCTACAGCTTTTTTCTATTATGTTTTGCAGATATTTTTTCTGCTTTCACAGAGAGAGGTCACATTTAAACACCCTAGAAACCTAAAAAATGGAACAGCCCACAGAAAGGTCCAAAACTAATAAGAATATGCACCCTCCTCTGTCAAAGTTTAGTCTTAGTTCTCACTTCTCAGTCTCAAAGAATAAGAGCTTTGAACAGTGGACACTCTGAATCAATCTTTTTCATTATTCTCATTTGCCAACCAATATACTTGTTCTACTTGTTAACTCGCAACTGCCCTCTAAAATAACCCAATATATGTCTATTATACAAAATCAAAGTGTATGATTGCTCTTGCAACATCATATTTCCCCTTTAGTACTGATTTCTTAAGTTATTCTACATTTGTCAGTTACCCTACTAAAAAGCACTAAAATTATGTATTTCAGTTAACACAGCAGTTCTATGGGCCTTTATTGTTATCTGGCAAACAGCAGAAGCAAACTGAACCAAACAACAGAAACTAATATTAGCAACACTTTGCTTATTGCCTTGGCAATAAACAGCTGAGGGATAATGTGATGAGGAGAGATGAATCCTCATCACATTCTAAATTCCATCTACTAAATAAGTTAGTGGTGTCATCAATATCATTGCTGCATTTGCTCTCCACAATAGCTGCTCAAGGACTTTTGCTCCTCTGCAGTACTGACCCCCAGCACTGTTGAATACAAAGGGCTGACTTCAAGGAGGTAAGATCCAAAGGAGCCTGGCCCTGTTCCTAATGAGCAATATGGTTTCCACTGCAAGAGTGTAGAGGCAGAAGATGTAAATATTACATCTGCTTGTAATTCTCTTATGCATTCATGCATTTATTTATTGCTTAAAAAAGATGACTATTGGATAGCTTTACCTAACTTCAATAAGTTGTTTCTTGGTGTTCCACAGGTACTTGTGGACAAAATGGAAGGATTACAATAAAAAAAAAACAACCCTCTGGAACTGAAATAAAAACTGAGAAATCTGGTGAACCTGAGGTACTAATTAATTCCATAGTAATTTTTAATGCTCCCATTTCCAGATATTTGCTACTGCCTGTCTGCTGGACATTCTAGCTTGTGCAGTAAAGTTAAGGAAATGAAAGGTGTTAATATTGCTGAGGAAGCTTAATGCAAAGTCTGATAGCATGGTTTAAACCAGCCAGGAACTGGTGTGAGATAAGGCACTGAACACTGCATCTTCATATCTTCAGTTGTCACACCCATTTGCTAATGGAGCACAGTTCTAAGCCCTCAAACCAACTGGGATAAATTGAGACACTGAGATAAATATAAGAGGATAAACAAGGATGTGATACACTCTAGTCATTAGTCTGCAGTTAGTTTAATGCTAAATCAATTACTGATAACAGCATAAACTCTGGCAGCACAGCATTTATGGCAGGCTACAAAGCCCAGCTCTGGTGCCACCACAGAAGGTGCTGAGCTGTTGTTCCCCACGGCAGCACTGCTATTGCTGACCAAGCTCCACAGCTTGAAATCATGAGAGCTGCCCTTGGTCACCTTTAGGACAAGCAGACAGGTCTGCAGGTATCAAGGCACACAGGCTGAAGGGGATACAATTCCTTCAGAGCACCCAGAATGCCTCAAAGCTTTCACACGAAAGGAGCTCTGGTGCCAGGCTGTACCCATCAGGTGGTGCAGTCACAAGTGTTTTGACAGATCAAAAATGCCAAAATCTCACATAGCTTATTCCTTTTTCTCTCTGTCTTCTCCCATAATTCCTCTATTGCATTACTGATGTCTGTCTCTATACAAAGAACATTCCTTGAGAAAACGGAAGCAACAGTTTAAATCCTCAGTTACCTCTTTAATGCAATAGTAAGGAAAGATACCTGGTTTCAGTAGTCTTTATACTATTTTGTTTTATTGCCAATTTCAATGTAAAGATAGACTGGACTTACTTTTTTTTTTTTTTTAACAACATGATTGTAAATGTAGGGTTTTTTTCCTTATGTACCATCAAAGAAATGTCAAAGTACATAGCACTACTCTTGATGCTGGGTTGCCAGGTGATGATAATTTTCTACAAAACTAAAGGGCTACTTTTTCCCCAACTCATTCTGCTCTTAAATACCTAAAACACAGAAAGTTACAGTTTTTCTTTCCATATAAATATATACACCCAGATTTAGATAATTCTCTGGGAAATAATTACCTTCTCTTTATTGACAGCGTAATATACAGAGGTTTCATTGATCAAAAAAAAGCATAGCCTGTTATGAGCTTGGAAAATGGCACCACTGTATCTTACATAGATTTAATTCATGTTGTGCAGAATGATTCACTATCAGATCAATTCCAGGTAATAGCACTTCGATAATTAGTCCTTAGGAACTAATGAAGTGATGGCCAAAACCATAAAATAAACTCATTGTATATTTGGAATTTTTTTTTTTACCCCTGTCAGGAAATATGTAACACTACAGCAGTATTTTTTTTCTACTCCATGAGGTATTTCTTGCACAACATATCAGCTCCCTAAAACTCCATTTTTATTATTAGTTGATTAATTTTTGTGTTACATATAATTACTACAATAACCCCACAGGAGCTAATACTCTCCAGTCATTACACTTCCTTTTTCTGCAGAGTAATCAAATCAGTATAGATGTGAGAAATGGAAAATATTCTTCTCCCCCCCAAAAAATGTAGAATTCCTCTTGCTAATGAATTTCCTACTTCCAAAGTCAACTGTACAATAGACAGATAGACAGACACTTCATTAAATATTTAAGCTATTAAATACCATTTATTCATAATGTGGACCTTTACTTATTTATAGTATGAATGTATTCATATACAGTAATATAGTTGTTCTGATCCTTGTAAGGTTTTAAAAATCACTAAAAAAATTAAATTAATCACAATTATGGTCATTATAAAGAATTTTACGGTGTCTAAAAAGGAACAGTACCTCCATAGAGTGAGATCACCATCATCATAAGAATTTATTTTTTTTTTAGATCAACAATCTAAGTATTATTTACTGTAACCTTTTAGAATGAAGTGAGTTTCAGCACTGATATCATAGCTTCATCTAGTTACCATGTGGAAGCAATTAAAATACAGATGAAGACAGATTTTACCTCTTCAGAAATAGCTATGGACAAGCTGTCAAAATAACTGTTTCCTGAATTATTATTACTAAGCCAAAACTGTTAATTAAGTACTTTAGAAAAAAATTAATGATCTCAGTTACTGTACAAGAAAAATTTTCTGTAAGGCATTGAAACGGGTTCAAAAAGAAATATGAAACTTCCGTTTATAAGGTTAAGCTGGTAATTTCTGCCAAAATAGTACAGCTTTTTGTATTGCTCCTAGGTAGAAGAGATTTTTGGCAACACCTTTTCCATCCTACGAGTCTCCTTTCGTTTGCTTTCAGAAACACATTAATCCCGTGAAGGTAATTTACTCACACTGTTCTTCCCACTCCTGGTCATCGTCGCTGTGCTGACTATGCTGCTGAGCTTGCTTGAGGCTCAGATACAACTCCTGTGCTCGGATTTCTTCCTGCTGCCTGATTTGTTCTTCACCCTTTTGTCTTTCCTCTTCTTCTCTTTTCTAGGCAAAATGAAGTAAGCCACAAGTGACTAAAGAGGAAGAACGTGCCAAAAGCTGGGACACTGCTTCAGTTGTTTCCTGTGACAGAGGAGCTGCATCACCCTTGGACAAATCCCTGTCTCTTCTAATTTTGGGTTTCTTACTTATCACAACAGGCATAATTGAAGTTTTGTACCTGTTAGGAACCTCTGAGGAGAGTATGTTTTGAAATGCACAGCTATCATAGGAATGAGGAACATGTAAGTATCTAAAATCTGAAAAGTATATTGAAAATGTTTTATCACGTGACTCCAAAGGTTGTATTATCCTACAGTCCGTAAGCAGAGCTTGTTTGAAGTCCACATGTAACTCCCATCGAAGATACTGCTGTATTCAAGTACTGCACACATCATCTACAGAATCTGTAGAATTCAGTAACTATTGCACTAGAACCAGCAATAGCTGAGCACAGGAAAAACAAAACCAAAAAGCAAACAAAACCCCTTGATTACTTTAAACTGGAAAAGAAATTTCAATCCACCAAGACATTCCAGCAATCAGCTGAGCTGATATATTTGAACGAATGTTTCTTAGCTAAAGACTTTGTACTCGTAATTTTTTTTCTTAAGACATGATATGATGCAAATTCTGGAAATTATGATCAAATGGGATTCTTCCTGCTTTCAAAGGGAAATTAGACATGTTTACCTTCCATTGTATAATATTAGTACACTACAAACCTTGTGAGTGGGCATATTTCTAAGTTTGAAAACAAACTTTGATCACAGCAGGACCCACAGCATGACCAAAACAATCCATGATCTATTTTAAGTACTACAAATATGAGTGGAGAGATTTAAAAACTTAGGCCAAAATCTGACTTTTATTATTCTCTAAACTTAGTCTGTGGGTTCAATAGATGCAAAATGGAGTTTTCATGATGTTGCTCATAATCCTGCAAAAAGTAACTTGCATTTTTCTTTTTCCATGTAGGTTCTTCTGTTCAGTCTTTGAAGATGCTACTTATCTGAAAGTTCACACTACGTATAAACTTTCGATATAATTCTGCATCTTTTTAGGATGAAAGGGCAGAACTATCCAAAAGTTATATTAATTCTGTAAAAGTACATATTAATTAACACTTCCCTACAGTAAATATCTTTTATTTGACAATACATTGAAAAAATCCTCATTCAAAGGTTGTCTGTCCTATCTTAACAACTGCCAGGGCACAAACAACAAAGGCAACCCAAATATAGGACTATGAATGTTCAAACAATGTTGTTTGGACAGGCTGAGGAAGTTGGGGCTGCTCAGCTGGAGAGGAGAAGGTTACATGGAGACCTCATAGCAAATTTCCAGTGCCTGAAGGGGGCCTACAGGGAAGTTGGAGAGGGACTCTTGCTTAGGAACTGTAGTGATAGGACAAGGAGTCATGGTACAAACTGAAAGAGGGGAAATTTAGGCTGGATGTTAGTTAGAAATTCTTTACTATGAGGGTGGTTAGACACTGGAACAGGTTGCCCAGGGAACTTATGGATGCTCTATCTCTACCAGTGTTCAAGGCCAGGTTGGACAAGGCTTTGAGCAACTTGGTCTAGTGGAAGTTGTCCCTGCTCATGGCAGGGGTGGTTGGGACTAGATGACCTTTAAAGTCTCTTCCAATCCTTAACATTCTATGATTCTACGAACAATACATTAGGTTGCTCTTATTTCTGAGAAAGAAAATCCTAGTATTGTTCTTCCATTGAATTTAATGCTAGTATCTTTGATTATTTCTAACATCGTCCTCCCACAGTTATCTCCAGAATCCTAAAAACACGAATTGAGTGCACAGGTCATTATTTTTGAAAATTCAATTATTATAAATAACACTGATTTCAAAGCCCAGCAGCTTCCTTAAAAAAAAAAAAAAAAAAAGAATCTTTTCTAATATCCCTATAGAATTAGTGATTCCATATTTCAGTTGCTAATAAATAGCTCTGTTCCCTTCTTGGAAAGAGTATGAGATCAGTTATTCTTTATTCTTATGAGGAAAATATTTATTTACTTAGCTTCACTACCTAAAACAATTCAATACATCTAGGCTATCTTTTCAGGAAGATGGACAGACACAAGGGTAATCCTGGGTTATATAATGTTTTATATTCAACCTCTCAAACCATGGAGTAAAATTTAATATAGAGGAAGGAGGAAAAAAAAACAATCTCACAGCAGTTTCCCTAAATCACATGGAGTTTTTCTCACAAATTGGGGTTTGGTTTTTAACGTAGCTGTAATTGAAGCATTTCTAGTAAAAAGATGAAGTGTATAAGAAAAACAAACAAATAAAATACACAATCTAAAACAAGAAAAAAACCTCCACCAAAAACTAGAAGTCAGGTAGAGTTTGAGCTGATAATGGAAAGCAGAATGCCTACTAAGAAAATCCTACCTCCACTTTTTTTTTGTGTGCTGAAAAGAGGAAGGTTTAAGTCAAAGAAGAGACAACAACAACAACTTAACACTGGCACTTGATTCTGAATTCACCAGAACTTTGTCATACAATTTTCCTTTCTAAAGAAAGACAAGTTTTGATTTCTATTTTTTTAATTGGTGCATGGATGCATGTACAAGTACACTGTACAATTCCTTAAAGGTGTGTGAGAAGAAACAACCCTTGCTAGTGTGACACAGGAAAGAACAGTGATCCTTTTGTCAAGTATGATTAAACTGTATGCATTTACAATGAACAACAACTGGACTTCTCACATTTGCTCCACTGGAAGAATACAGCAACCAGTTTATTTGCTTCTCCCCATGAACTCAATCCTGCACACCAGAGCTGAGAGTGAAGAGCTGTAATAACCTACAAACATCACCCTCTGTCCAACAGTTAAGAGAGATTGTACTCTGTGCCGTGTCCCTTTCAGCTCTTCCAGAATAATTAGGAAGCTGGCAATTCAGTACAGTGGCTAAATTGCTAAGAAATACCAACCTGAAGAAACAAATCACACTGACAATTCAACAGGCAGCAGTAATCCTCTCAGGTATTAACTCCACTGGAGAATTTGAACATGTTAAATGGTCTTATCTATCCTCTGGCAGTTGAGAATTTACCACAAACTTATTACTGTCTATGTGTGCCTCACTGTCTTTGATAAATTTACTATGGACAGCTCTAAATAATATTTAATATTAGCCATGGTTAGGTTCTAATGTTTCAGTCCAAGGCAGATGAGAGGAGATTAGGTCAGCATTTAGTTTTTGCTGCAGAAAGATTTAAAATATACACTGAGAAAAGCCAAAATAGAGCAGTGGATTTTTTTACAATGGAAAACCGGGCTCCTGGTTGCCACGGGTCTTGGGGTCTCTCTGGGGAGTCTCACAGGGTGCAGGGCAGCTGAATGACCAGCATCATGCTCAAGGCAAAACCCATAAGGCATTTTCGTTGCAACAAAAAGGATGCCTGGGATTCCCTCAATACTTCAGGCTGGCGAGAAGTATCTTCGGCAGCCCTGAAAGTTACAGCAGCAGCGAATCTCCTGAGCCCACTCAGCAGCCACCTCTGCCCCAGGGAAGACATGCCTACCTGCCACAGAGCTGAGAGCCCTTAGGACTGAAGAAAATCTGGGAATCCCAGGGTGTCCAGCTATAGGACAGCCCACTCTCAGCAAGGCCAACACTGCTGGCTGTGTTCAGAGATCAGATTTCCCTGTAAACCCACCTGACAGTTTTCAACAGAGCTGTGAGTAATGGCAGAAATATGTCCAACTCCTTTCCCAGCCTTTTTCTGAGAAAATTGTCTCACTTGCACCAGAAAAGAAAGTGTTTGCAGAGACATTATTTTCTTCTCTGCTACCAATGCCTCAGAAAGGAACACAGGGTTTGCAACACTTCACTGTGCATGTATTTGCATATAAGCCCATGTACTAAATGCAGTCATGCTTTATGCAGAAGAAGCTATGTTTCAGCCACGGGTATGTCCCAGGACATGCATGTCTCATACAGGGAAGTAACAACATACTCTGGTTCACAAAGACCCTCTTTTCTATGAGCTAGAAAACAAACCTAAGGACTGTTCCTAGATGGGAGAGATCTGACATCTACTACACACACTGGAGCAGACTCTGCTTGTGTAACTTGCTATAATTCCAGTGAACATCTACTGAAAGTTTATCTCTGGATCTTAGGGACTCCTCACAGTTTGAGTTCCCAACGTGCAAACTATCCTCCTTAGTGGCTCAGATTTTCCCATTCACCCATGGAAAATACCAAAGCTCTGCTAGTTTTTACTAGCAATCCAGAATAAAGACAGTGGTTTCAGCAGTGCAGTCATTACAGATGTCACCAGGGAAGAGATTTTTCTTTCAAATAATTATCACAGTTTCTCACAAGTAGGATAGAAAAACCTGAAGACCCAATTCCCAACTGTAACTAACAGCTGCCTCATTTCCAACATTGTTCAAGAGACAACTGCATAGAAAAAAAAGGATTTCTGAACTGCGGTCTCACAAAAGAAAACAAAATTAAGTATTACTCAATTATTGTAATTGCCATTGAAATAACCCAACTAAGGCATTTTCGGAATGAATTGGGTGCCAAATCCCAGCAAGAAGCTGTTGTCACATTCCTAGATTCTAAATGTGCTGTCTTTGGGAAAAAGTTCAGTGTTTTCTTGGCACAGCAAAGCACAGAGCTGAACTTACAGCTTATTTGCTCTTAAAGACAACAGTCCCACTCAAGCGCTTGACTTTTATTGGAGACAGATTTTTTTCAGCTCAGGACAGAATGCTCACTGCTACATCAGAAGGAGCCCACAGTACTGCAAGTGGTGGTGACATTTCACTGCATCCATAAACTCTACACCTGGCAATTGTCTGAAGAATCAGGTCCACAGCCCTTTGGGACACAGTAAAGCACTCAGACATGTTGAAAGCTCATCCAAGTCAATAGGACTGAAGTGTGTTCTTTTTATTAAGCATAAGTTTAATTAGAGATTTCCTGAACTGAAGCACTAATTATTCTGTTCTTCTCTAAAGGTTGATTCTCAACCTGTCTTCTTTGAAGAGACATATTTCATCTCCCAGGGAATTTTTCAGAAGCAATCTAGCTCTGCTGTCAACTATGCTTATATTATTAAATTTGGCAGGTATCTCATGTTGTCATAAGGACAGTACTTTACAATTAATATTCTCTTGCTTTATGTAGACCACACGAAGAGTGAGCTGAGAAACCATCTCTCTTTTAATTCTAAATGTAGCTGAAGGATATCACTCGTCCCTGGCTGGCTGACACTCATACCTTTAATTTTCCTTAGCTTTGCACGTTGTTCAAGACTCTTAATGACAGCTACTGATAACAGTAGAAAATTATGCCTATGATCTCATAGCCTTTGTGAATTAGCAAAAAGATTAATGATAGTAATTGGCTTTCTTATTTGTCCTTTGCAATAAGGTATAAAAGAATAGCTGTCCTTAAACTGCAAAAATAGAGAAGTCAACATTTATATTCTAGCATCATAAATTAAAGGCATTTCTACTTAAGAAACACCAAGGAAAGCAATAATTTTCTAATAGTGTTGGAAAAGTAAATAGGGATCATCATTCACTTTGATATGTGAGATATCATTTATCTAGTGCAGACAGCCCTAGCGTCCCATGATAGGTCAAGAGGAATAAAAGCATTTTAAAAAGGACTGTTTGTGATACAATATGGTTAGAAATTAAACAGTCAGCAGAAAGGACAGTTTCAATTTCCCAACTCAAAATGCCTCAACAGGATGAAGCATTAGCAGAGACTGAACTTTTCATACCCCAATATAGAGACCTCTTTAAACATGATCAGGTCATCATCACAGAAGGATGATTACCAAGATGTTAAATATTTTAAACCTGTTAAAGTGGGCTTGCTAACTGATCTGCATCTCATTCTGCAGCCATTTCTTCATTATTTCAATTACTGAAGTCATACATGAGTAGATTCATTAATTTATCTTTTTCCCAGAACCCTAGTTCTATTCCCTTTCTGTAGTTGGATGTGGATGCCAGAAACATAACTTTCTTTTCTTGTCTGGTACCTATCCACTCATTCAGCCTGCAAATATTTCATGTAGCTCTTCCACTGCACAAGAGTAGTTATAAAAAGAGTAAAATGGGAAGGAGAAGGAAAGCCAAGTGAGATTAAATGAGCCAGTGGACAGAAAAATTAACAAGCCCCCCACATGAACCTGTGAGATCCACCTGTCTTTCAAATGCCTTTACTGTCTTGAAGTAGTTCTACAGCACAATGTCCAAGATCTGCTCTTTCAAGACCAAGTAAGAGATAAGTTGCTTTTCTGAGTAGCAAAGGAGTGGTGTTAAAGTACAAGGAATCAATCCTGCATTTGAATCTCTGCTGCTGAAACCCCATGTCAGTCCAAGTCTCTCCTAACAGATCTCAAATTATAGACCTAATTGAAGATCAGGGTTGAAAGTGGAATTAGCCTATGTTGTTGTATTAATAAAGGAAATGCCAGGAATAGCTCAATAAAGCGGCATTTAAAAAAACAACCACTGCATCAAATCTTGTTTCCAAACTAATTTTTTAAGCCACAGAGTTCATTTCTGCTGAGTCTTGTTTTAAAAATTTTGGTCTGCTTATTTAAATTTTTTGCAAATATTATCTACAAATGCTGGATTTAAGTGAAAACAGAGGGGAAGAAAAGATTTCTATTTCTTTGATCAGATAAATATATTGGCAACTTTATGAACAGACCTAAAGAAATGCTGGCCAATGTTTAGTATTTGAAATTCAAAGTAGAAACTGAACCATATTCTCAACCCAGTTACAGCAGTGCTCCTTGCTCCTACCAGGCACACAGCTGGATGGAGGACACCTGCTCATGTCCTGAGAAACAGTGGGAACACAGAACACTGACATTACCTTTCCATTAACATGAAAAGGAGTAGATTTTGGTGCCATTACTGTTAATTGTATCAATGACTGAACAACGAGTTTTCCTTAATAGAAAAGTATGAATACTGGCCACTAAAAGTCTCAGAAGTTTCTCACTCTGCTTTTTAAAAAAGTCTCTTTGAAACAGAATAGTACCAGTGAGCTTGTGGACATTTACCCCATTGAGTGCCCTGTAAATCAACCACAGAGATATAAGTGAACACTGTATCAGTCTTTGTTCAAGAGGGCTTTGCTTTCCAGAGGGTAAAGGAAAGAGTGTTTAATTAGTTGCTCTGCTCATTATTCATATATTAATAAAGCACTTGAAAGGTATAGTTTCATTACTCATTGACACCGAATTTCAAAGGCCTCGTTCTCTCCTGTGAATTTAAATTAGTCGTGCAAAGGTAAATCAGCAACTCTGTGCAGAGGAGGCTGCAGGAACAGCCCTGGCTTTGTGCTCAACAGCCACCCTCAGATCCCAGGCCCACGGTTTACAGTGACAAGTACCTTGTTGACTTGTGGTTTGTAATCAAACCACATAAATTTAACACTGAGTTTTTCAGCATTCCTCCCATCCCAGAGGGACAAGGGGGAAGTCTATCCACCCCTTCCACACCTTTAATCACTGTGTCAGGAAAGGAAAGGAGAGATACAGCAAGCTGTCAGCAGGGGAGAGGCATATAGATGGAAGTTACTGGATGCAGATCTCCTAGGAGTCATATTTTGCTACAGACTTTCTCCATGGAAACCCAGCCTCACCAATCGTGTGCAGTCCCAGCCTGCACATCCCAGACTCAGAGAACTGTGATAATTTCTCTGCATGCTGAACCAATTGTATTTTTCTTTCTCATTTTTAAACAAGATTTCATCTTTATCCAGTAATATGAAAAGAGTGGAAAGAGGTCATCTTTGCCTGTTTAGTTTTTAAATTGTTATTTTCAAAAAAAAAAAAGTGAAAAAATATTATTTAAAAATAACTTTAAAACACTGTAACAGTTCATGGAAAGCTCATTATGAAGTCAATAAAAATCAGGCAAATGAACTTCTCCTAGCAAAGCCAACTGTATCTTTCCCATATGTTGGATAGAAGAAGGATCCATCCCTTATTATTTTGAAGAAAGTAGCGACACAAGTTTCAAGTTCAATACATGAACAACTCATCCAAAATACACAGAATATGTTCAAGTCAATTAACTCAAAGTGAAGTATTTCACCACTGGACATTTTTTCCCCCAGTATGATTCACCCAGAACAGCTGACTGAACAATTCTGTTGAGGTGTGAGCTGAATAACCAGTTTGATTGTTCTGGCACTTCTGAATGAGTTTGCAATTTTTTCTTATCACTCACCCAGCTGTTCTGGTGAGTACCATGTAGCTGTCTGTACGTTCCAGAATGAAAAATTACAACTGAGGATTTTAAAGCTTATTAATAAACATGCACTGAAGGTGACCAGAACTTTGAGTCTATTTTAAAACACTGTTAAAAGAACCAAATTACTCTATGCAAACCTTTAATTCCTCCTGAATTTTTTCTTCCTCCAATTTGGCTGCTTTCCGATCCTCTGTTTCTATTTTCCATTTTTCTGCCACTATTCGGGCTTTTTCTTGAGCCATAGCATCCCGGAATTTCTTTGTAATTTCAGCTTCCTTTTGTCTCCTTCAGAAAAGATGTGAAAATAAAAAAAATTTAAGCCACTGATTATTTTTTTAAATTGAGGATCAATCCTTACTCACTAGTTGCCACAAACAATTAGCATAAGACTTCATGGAATTATGCAAGGAAAGAAAATATATTTAACAGGAGACCTGCCACAAATCAGATTTGAGGAAACTATCCAGAAAGTAGACAATTTACAATTTTTGATAAATGACTAATTAAAATAAAACATTCTAAATTAGACAAGTACTTCTTGGATGTCTTTGAGCCATACCTTATTTTTTTCTGTCCCTGGTTGCAAAAATAGATTTTTCTGTCACTTTTTTCTAGCAAAGCACGATCGGGAATTTATTGTTTTTTCAAATATCAATGCAAATGTCTGACAAATTCTTATGCTAGATTGTTTACTAATACTGACAATGTAAAAGGAATGCAGAGATCAGGTTGAGGCCTTTAATCCCTGCTTAAATATGCAATTACTATAAGCAAAGAAGAATCTCATACAAAAAGGGATAATATAGAATAATCTGATATTTAACTGTCACTTTTCAGCACTGCACTAAAGGAAGTGTATGAGACAGGTGGCCTACTTCTTAACAATATCAAGCATCAAAACATTTTTGAATCTCTCCCAAACCTGGGAAAGGCCCTGCTGGAAACAGCAGCATGGCACTTAGCATAATCAGTTTCTGAACTGCCAGAATAAGAATTAATGCGAGCAAAATGCAAATAAAACCAATTTTGAAAAGGATTTTGTGTACCAAATCCCCATTGTGGGCTCAGATTTGTAACACAACAAACATATTAAATTTAATCATCTCAGAATTGTTTCGTTTTTCTTTATTTACAAAATTGTCGATGGTTTAGCAAAATTCCCCAAAAGGAAAACATTTGCTCCATTACTTTTTTTTTTTTTTGTAAAAGAGGATTTTTGTTTTTCAGTATTCGAGAGAAACAAAATTACGTTTTTTACATGCTGAAAAATTGCCAAAGCAAGTCAAAGCCAATGTTCACAGAACATACTAAGGAGTTCCACCCACCGCTACCTGCAACCTTTCTACAAGGTCACGTCTCCCATTATGCCAAGCGGACCCTGAATTCACTTCCATAAATCCTCACCATAGTTCTTCTGCCTCCCTCTGTGCCTGCTGCCTGGCTCTCTCTGCTATGAGCTCCTCGGATATCTGCTCGTAGGGCTTGTCACCTGGGCCTTCTCCCATCACCCAGACCCAGACCTCGCCATCCTTCCCACGCAGCCACTGCACGCGTTTGCCGTTACCTGCAACAGCCACCGAGAACAGCCCAAAATGTAAAGACTGGCTCAAATTCTCACACAGATATAGGTGAAGAGATGGCAAATTCGCAGTTTAGAAACAACAAAGCTTGCGATTTACAAGTCAGAATTAAACGTTACTTAGAGGTTGAAAGAAATCTTCTGATTTGACCGATCTACCGTGCTGGGGTTTGTATGCTGCAGATCGCACAATCTTTAAACACTCACTGTCCCACAAAAATAAAAGTTATTAATTCTGGCATACGTTTCCCAGAATTTCGGTGTAATGATCCCTACTTAATTGTCATATTTTCTTTCTTCACTCAGCAAGGGATGAATGAAGAGCATGGAAAAAGAAATGGGGCAAAAATCAAGAGTCAGTGACATAATGTGACTTGCAATCCTTTATGCACAGAAAATGTTGAGTGTTGAGCATAGAGAGACTTCACCAGAACACCTTCAAAAAATCCAGGAATTTCCTGATGCTGCTGTATGAAGGAAGAGTTCCAGGGAGCCTGAATACTCAGAGCACACCACTCAACACTGCAAAGCCTATTCTGTTCACGTAGGCAATCGAAAGGGATTAAGTTTCTGGTTCAGCTTTCAAGAAACACACCATGCAAAAATCTACAGTTACTGTGTTGACAGAGTGATGTTAAGAACACCAAAAAAGCCTGATAGTTCTTTACAAAACAGACTACACTTGGTGAATCTTCATGTTCAAGAACAAACTACAGGACTGCAAAGGGCACTAGATTAGATCCTATCTGAATACATTCATATACAGTAATATACACTACCTGATTCAGTGTAGTTTGGTCTTTTCCCTCTGCTTTTATGCATATAACTCTCAAATATTAAAAGCATTTTAGAGGTTCATAATAAGGAATTTGTAGAAACATCTCTTACACATCCATTTTTATGTTTTATTTCTTGCAAATTTGTTGACACTGTCCTTCAACAAACAATAGAGGATTACACCACAAAGACTGCTGCCAAGATGGACAGTGGATTTATTTTAAACAATGCACACTACAAGGCCATAAATGCTCAGCAGTTCATATCACTCCCTGTACATTACAGTCCTCTAGATTTCACCCTCTCACCCAAATATATTGAGGTTAGAAAATGGTGGGTTTTTAAAAGGCACCTTGCCTCATTTGAAAATGTGAAGAAATGGACAGGGCACCATTTTTCCAAGTAGTTTTTCCCCAGTGTTCCCATAAGAGTTAAAAGAAACCTGGTCCTATTTAAATGACCAGGCTCTGCTTCTGCTTTTTCCACATCTTTCTCTACAATCACCAGCTTAGCTACTCTCACCCTCAACTTCTCTTATTCTGCAATAGGACAGTATCCATTTAACTGGATTAAGTTTCCCAAGGCACAATCAATAAGGTGTTTCTGACATCCCAGACTGCAGACAGACAAGTGCAGGAGGAAGGGAAGTGGGGCTGTTGACAGCAGGCAGTGCCCCCGCCAGCCCACACTCACAAGTGTTGACAATAGGAACTGAAGGCAGGGAACGTATCCGATCTCACAATGAAAGCTAATATTCTATATCAAATTGGAAAATGTAATTTATACGAATTCCCAGCGTTGGCCTAACAGTACTGACTTCAAGGGGGGCTGGAAATTTAAGCTAATAGTGTTTTCCTTCAACAACTCTCAAAAGCTTTTGCTCTTTCCCAGTCTATCAGATTATGTCTCAGGTTATAAATGCGAATGTGTTCTATTGCCGTTCTTATTCTGTACATTTCTGTGTTCCTGTCAACCTGACATTTATGCTACATTTTTTGGATACAGAGTTTGAATACCATCTGCTGAGACCTGACTGGTCATATCAGTATTTGCCTGAAAGGTTTTCACCTACTGCATTTCATGGTAAAGCATCTTAAGAAGTATGGAATGATTTCCCAAGAGTACCAGTCCCACATAACCAATGACAGTTTTTTTTTTAAAAGTGTTCCATGTCCTCTTTCCTATAAGGAATCTGAATATCCTAGTTGCTCTTCTTTGTCTGGTACTTTAAAAAAAAAAAAATTGGAAAACACATGCCTGATGTTAATTGATCTGTACCATAACTGGTAGATAGCAAATACTTTTACTGTTCTCACACAACTTCACTACTTCTGTTCATTTATGACCTTATCAGATGGAAAGAGAATAAATTAAAAACAAACAAACAAACCAAACCCCAAACCCACCTTTTCAGGTAAGCAGAAAAATTTTATCTTTACTTCTTTCCAGGTTTCCTGTGCCAAAGAGTTATTAATGTGTTTCTCAGAGACACAACTTAACCGTTCCAACCCAGTCCCATAAAACAAACAGCTGATTTGTAGACATCTTGAGAAATTGTTCTCTTTCTTCTTTTAAAACAATGGATCTCTTTTCTAAAGCTATAGACAGTAGATGTATAAACTCTTTTGAAACTACCAGTATAACATGTTGTTGGCTCAGCACACCCCAGCACAGTACACTGCTGTGTACACACCCACAGTTCAAGCTGAAAGACCACAGCAGCATCAAGCAACCTGGAAATTTTAAGCTTCAGCATTAAACAGACAGACCTCCATATATACAATTTTAAAACAGTTCAACTTGAGCACATATGCCTTTATTCAGGGTTTTCTCTAGAAGAAAAGGCCTTTTCACATCCAACCACCTATTTTACTTTAAGAAATGAGTCCCATGTAAAGCTTCCCTTAGACCTATGCTCCCATAAAGCTGGAGATGGGCTTTACTGTACGTTTTGATCATAAAACTTTATGGTTTAGTTTCTTAGCACATAATAACATAAAAAATGAGCGTGCAGAACAAGAAATAAGCGCCTCAGGGAGAAAATCTGGTAATGTGAAAACAGAATTTCTGCCACACAAAAAGTCTTTGCAGCCTCCAGAATCACATTCACAGTGATAGTGTCAGCTCTGCTAGGCTAATGATACTGGTCTTGTACTTTTAAAATGCAGAATCAATGGCAAGATTCGAGATTAAAGTACAGAAAATTATTTTCCCTAATACTTTTAGGAAACTAGTGTTGTCTGCTTTGCAAGCAGAGAATTACCACTATCGAGGGCCAATTCAAACAAAATAATTTCTGCTTTAAAATGTCTCTCAGGTATTAAATTTTTCTGCAAAATAAGATGTTTTGTTAATACATTTTATTTCCAAGTGAAACAGGAAAAAAAATAAAGATTCAACTAAATATAAAAGGAAGAGACAGGTCCTGACAAAAAAAAATTTGAAATCTAAGTGAGAAAGAGGCAAGAGAACCTCACGTTTCCTTTTTAGAAGCAGGCTTCTGAACCCAGTCACAAATACTAATACAGAGTCAGGAAATAAAAATTAAATCTCTTGAGCCCCAGTCTTGTGCCTTGACCACAAAAGTACTTTTTTCTTCCTGGAGAGACTATAACAGGTGGCAAATAATTACCACTAGGAAGTAGTGGACATCAAAATTAGTCTGCATTGGAGAGTAGAAATGGAAGTGTTTTAGAAACAAACATTGCTTCATCAGGAAAACTTACTGAATAATTTACCAGGTCTTCTCCATCCCTACTCTTCAGATCAATGATTATCAGCTTTAATATTCCACCATTTTTCACCTAAAACAACTCTGTAGCACCACAAGAAGACAACATTAACTCTTGCAGTTCTTTTAACCTTTTTGGTGCATCCATGAATTAGTATCTCACATGGAGTTCCTCTAAATCTACGTCTATACTGTTTTGAGACCAGCAAATTGGTTTGTGGATAATATTCCTTACTCCAAACAGATGCCAGATCAGACAAATGCAAAATCAGGTCTCTCAAATTTGCAGTGCAAGCGGATCACAGCGAAAACTTTCTAGGAGACCTAAAACATGAACCAACAGCAACTCAGGTGTGCACATGTAAACACACACAACCAAAAATTCTATTTGTTTGAATTTACAGAGTCAATTCTATAACAGCAAGGGAAGTGTAAAACAATGCCCTGGAGAGCCACAGGAAACTCAAGCTCTCACCCACAAGGATTGTGAGCTTCTGCCAGCAGCGCTGCTGATCTCACACCCACCCAGAGTGCTGGAGTGTTACCACGGGCTGTGCTGCAGGACACCCAGGCTGCTCCTGGCCTTTGTGTCACCCTGGTGTCAGCAGGGCATCATTACTGCCACGGCTGAGCTCTGCCAGGGAATATGGACACTGCCTAGTGGGAGAGAGAGGACAGCAGCTGATGGCACAGGGATGGGGAGTCCTGGTTGCGTGCAATGATCAGGCTGCATCGGGCTTCACTTTCTACCAGCTCCACGTTGGGACTAGGGCTTTAAACAAATAGTTATACAAAGGAGAACTGGGCCACACACTGTCTCAGCTAATTGGAACAGAGGAGCTGAACCTCTGGTTTAGGAGTTTTACGGGTGATGGTTTTTCAGTGTGTTTTCTGTGGTTTTGGGTTATATCTGCCTTCATTTTCTCACAGTTTAAATTAAAAGTGCTTTAAAAATAATGATAATTAGAACAAACAGTATACTACTGGAGTCAGCTTCCTTCCTCCAAGCTTGTTTGCCACTGCTTTAACAGTTACAGCATCCCCAACAATTCCCATTCATGATCCATATCCAGTGTTTACAAGGGAACTACTCCAAGGACCATTAGAGGCCTGATCTGGTGTCAAGATTGCCAGCTGGGCTGTCACTCAGCCACAGTCTGCCTGCTTAGTCGGGTGCAGATAGAGAGCATCAAGTGCCCTACTGCCTTTCTGTCACAGGGAATACTACAGAAAATTAGAAGATCACTTACTTATGGTCTCAGAAACATTGGACAGCATTCAAAGTCTGCTGAAATTTTTTCAAAAGAGTTTGCTATTTCCATGAACAAACTTATTTCTCTGAGGTTGGGCTTCCCATCATAGTTCTCCTGCTTGGCAGCTACAGATCTCTGCAGCAACAATTGACTCTCCTTCCTCACCTGCTGGAAAGCTTTGTAGTCATACAAATATCGTTTGACTTGCTTTAGAAAACAGTCTT